CTCAAAGACAGAATCAGAAAGATTGCTGCCACCAAAGCCAAAGAGAAGATTGAGGATAAGCAGCAGCAGCCCAAGGCATTAGCTTCACATCCAGCCAAAGCAAAGCCATTGCCTGATGAGCCCCCATTGCCACCACCATCATCCCCCCCAGCGCCATTGGAAGAGCATGAGTTGGACATTCCTTCTTCCAAGCTGAGAGTGGTGAGTGAGCATGCTGGCCCTTCATTGTTTGGTAGGCAAGGCACTGCCATGGGGGCATCAGAGAAAGCATTGCATGTGCTCCTTGAAGCTGATGGGCTTCATAAAAAGAGTAGGACTGCATGGGTGGATAGGAGCTACCTGGAGCCAGTGGGAGGGGATAAGAAGCAATGGAAATGGCACCAGCTGACATTGCAGAGATGGCACAAGCATGATATCCTGCTAGATGCAGGGATCATATTTGAAGACCCTGCATTGCTGGACTCATGGGGTGAGCTGGAAGTCATCAAGCTTTTGTGCTAATATTAGTTAGCATTTTTGGACCCATTTGTTTACCCCCCCCCCCCTTATTAGTCCGGTCTGTGCTGAGCATGTTTTTTCATTGGCTGATCTGAGGAAAGACCATTCAGATGTGGACATTGAGACTGTGGTCATTGCTTATGGTCTCATTAGATGGATGGCTACAAAAAAGACAATGGAAGACATCCAGGATGTGGAGTTCATCCATCCAACTGCGCTGCATGGCATTCTATCTGAGGATGCTCAATACATGAACCAAGAGGGCATCAGTTCATATGTGCTGAAGAAGATGAAGGGCAAGGCACAGCAGGGTTGCATTTGTTGACCATTGTTTGTTTGACTTTTTTGACAACCCTGAGGCCAAATGCTTTCTCATGCCATTTGCTGCTGGTCACCATATTGTGCTCCTGGTAGTGGATTTGAGACCAGGCATATCCAAGCAGGAGCAGATCAGATATTATGAGACACTGACAACTATGAGTGAGCCATGCTTGCACAAGGCACATGCCATTTTGGCATGGCTTTTGAACAACGAAATCGTGGATGAGGACTTTTTGATGAGGCCTCCATTGGATAGAACCAATGCCAGCATCAGGCAGCCAATTGGCTCCAATCTGTGTGGATGGTATATCATGACCTACTTGGAAATGGAGGTTGCCATGTTGACTGGACATGGCCCTGCTGCCATTGGGTGGCCTGAAGAGGCCATGCAAGCTTGGCATGCCAGGATGCAGAAATTCATGCCCCAGTTGCAGAAGGAGATAGACATGAAGAAGAAAGAGGTTACCAATGGCATTGCTCTATTGGAGAAGTATGGCCAGAAGGTCATGCAGGAAAGAAAGAAGACTTATGATCTGGCATGCAACAAAATGAAGAAGGGTGAGGCATTGACTTCATTGCAGATTGAGGCCATGGCCATTGTGAATGAGAATTCCAAGCTGCAGATTTCAGATTTGCCTGCAGAGTATCACAAGGCCATTGAGAAACTCCAACACTATGAGGTGGGAGTGTGCAGTAGATGCAGGTTCCAATCAGGCTGCTTATCATGCAGCATTGAGTGCGCAGCCTATTGGATGAGGAGGGAAGGCAAGAGATTAGGAAGAAGCATATGTGCAGAGTACATGCTATGAATGTGAGTTGTCAATATGGATGACATGTTCAGCCATTTCTAAGAAATGAGCTCAAGAAGCAGTGGAGAAAATGAGATAGCAGCGGCCATCTGGGGCAGGGACCGGTCTAATTGGGGGGGGTTGTTTTGGATTATTTTTTATTGAGGGGGGTTTTTCTGAGATATGAATTGTTTAGTATTGGGGGGGTCCACCCGGACCGGATTAATAGGGGGGGGATTACTAATACACTGTCAACATTATGTTCTATTTCCCAAGGAAACCAACTGGAGGTAGATACTGTTTTGATTTGTCCAACCCCCCTATCTGTCAAGCGGGATAGCGTAGGTTTCCCTTCAACTCCGGCCAATGTTGCGGTTTGTGCCATTCAAAGCCATCAACAACACAAAGGGTGTCCTTTTGTTTTCCCTTCAACATCGACCATCAGCACAAAGGCAACACAACTACAAAAGGTGCAAGTTCCGTTTATGCCCTTACAGTTAGGCAACAACACTGGGAAATAAGAATCAAACGGCAGCATGTGGGCAGGTCCTTCTTTGATTGAAGCAGCCAAACATCAGCAGTGCGTCCTCTCCTCTTACAACACTTCCTGCAAAAAAAATGGGCAAGTCCTTCGTGCTGTCCCTTTGAAATCACCTTTCTTTTCTGTTCATAAGACAGATTGTGTTTCAATTGAAAGGACCAAGCATCAACACAGTCCATTTTTTCATAATCATCAATCAAGCATAACGGGCAAGTCCGTCATCCTTTAAGATCGCCGCACATCTACAAGACTGCTGTCTTGTTTGGCCACTGGTACATCAATCAACAAGGCATTGTTTTCGTGTCAATCACCAGACATCAGCCAGGTGTCATGGTTTGATTGAAATTCAGCG